AAGTTGTTTTAGAAAGAGAAAATGGTGTTCTTGTGTTCTTGAAGAAAAACCATGTTTTGATCCGAAAGTTTGTATCAAGATCCATGTTTTTATATTTGTTTTGATAAGATCTTCAAGTATGGGTACCCAGGTCCATGTTTTTGAACTCATAGCATGAAATCTCAAATTTTGTGGTAACAAGTTATGATTTTAGCATTCATGTTTTTTATGTTCTTCATGTGCTTTAAGGAAGGAAATCCAGATTTCCAGACTTCACCTTTCCCTAGGTGTGGTCACTTAGACCACTCTTGCCTAGATCTCACACTTAGGCCAAGCATCGTATCTCACCTTGGCCTACCTTGCATGATCACTTGCACCATTAGTCTATCTTGCATGAACACCTCGGCAGACAGCCGTTCGCCGAAGTCTTAGTAACCACACCTCGGCCAAGAGGTGTGGGACCTCGGCAAAGACCTGGTTGGTACCCAGCATGTTTTCCCTGAGATGAAAAACAGTGTTTTAACTTCCAGCATGTTTTGTTTTGACTTGACCTAGTCTTGAAGGAAATGTCGGGATCATTTGCATTCATGTAAGGCTTGTCTTGAGAGTGCATTTCATATCCATATTTGAGCATTCTTTCTTGTTTTCTTGAAGTGCATTCAGTAGACTTTGTCATGTGTTTGTAGGACTTGGACCTTTGCTTTAACCCCGACGTCTGAAGAGCTATGTGAGTAGTATTTTTAATAAAGTTATGTTATAAAGTTTTGATAAAGCCTTGATTCGTTTTGGAAAAAGTATTTGATCAAGTATGAATGATTGTCCCTAGTTTTGTATCACGTATTATATTTGTTTTGATGACATTCTGGGAAGTCCTTAGTGCCAGGGGATTATAATGCAACTGGATCCTTGTTTTCTCGCTGACGATTTTCCGCGTGGGTTTGTTTGTCCGGAATGTCATCCTTTGGTATTATGTAGATATTATTAACATCCAAGAAGCTTTGAAGATTTGATAGATGAACTTGGTTCATTCCTTTGATTTGTAAAGTTATGATATGTATTGTTTTAGAAAAGATCCCGGACATTATTCATTCAAACCTTTATTACTTATACCATTCACTGAGTATTCAAGCTCACCCTCTCCTTATATATATGTAGGTGTCAAGCAAGAGGGTGGTGATGCCTAGATGTGTTTTGCAAGTTGTATTCGGATTCATTTTTCTAGCATCTTGAAGATTATGCTTCTTAACTTTGTATTTCATGTATTTTGTATATGTCGGCTTGAGAAGCCTTTTGATCAAAATATGTACCTTATTTTATTTGTGTTCAAGTTATAAAACTATGTTAAGATGTATGTCATTTCCTTTGATCTATGCACAGCTCTTATGGACTACTTAGATTTAAATTTATTGCTTCCGCACATGTAAGCCCCATATATATACTCTGATTGTGTGTGAATCTTTGTAAGTTGGCCTTTGGTAATCTCGGATTACTGGCCATCACGGCACCATTCTACTAGGGGCGGAATGGGATCGTGACAATAAGTGCGATGGTGCCTTTTAGATTTGAATTAAACAGGTAAGGGTTTTGAACTGAATCTGTTCAGACATATTTGAAATCTGTACAGAAATATGCAAATTTTTCAACCAAAATTTGAATTTAAACGGTCAGAATTTATTTTCCAAAAAATTAAAAAATAAATTCAAATATTTTTTGCCCAAAAAGATAAGTATTGGGCCAGACAAGCCCAGGCCCAACCCAGCCCGCCCAGACAGATGATAGCGGCGGCGTGCGTATGTGTATATTTTTGGGTCCAATGGGTCTAGCCCATAACCTCTCCCTTCTACAAACTTGTGGTGCCCATTGGGGCCCTCCCCAAGTTGCAAACTCAAGTTTTATAAACCCACAATAGTTTTCCCACCAAACCAATGTGGGACAAACCTTTAATTTAAACATTTAAGGAATTTCCACCAAAACTCCATTTCTATGGAGCTCACTTTGACTTCAATTTCTCATTCACTCGATAATGGTTTTGAGCAACCAAATATACTACGTGAATCACAACGTGATATAGAACGCGTTACCACTTAGACCCGCCAACTTTGACACATGGATCCCACCTAAAAATAGACCAAAGTTAAGGAAGAATCTGTTTTTACAAAACCATTTCTAACAATAACAACATTGAGGCTTCAACTAAGTAAAATAGTTCATTAACCTTTTTTCTCTTCATCATTTTCCGTCTTATCTTTGTCTTCTCCAATCTTCAATCCTTCAACACAACCCTCCTCCTCTCTTATCTCCGCAACTTCCGCCTTCTTTTCCGTATCACCGCCGCCCTTCTCAGCTACACATTCCTTGATCGCTACCACCATATCGAACGATTCGCCACCATTTGGCCACAAATCATCATCTGTAGATGAAATTGAGGCAGCGTGTGAGCCCACTTCAAAGGCAAGTTTGAGGAATGCTTCGCGGATGGATTCAGGTGGAAGCACAGAGTCTTCGAGGACGGCATCCTCCAAGCGTGGTGGTTGAATCTTATCTAACAAACCCTCTTCAACCTCCCTTGTTGCCTCCATCAACTCAAAACCCTAACCCTAACCAAATAGCGAACATGATAGAGAAGATGAACTACAATGTCACCACCATAGACTTGTGTTGTGTTATTATATTATACAGTAAATTACATTTTGCCCCTTGTTTCATACTTTCTATCGCCTTGGATTTCTAATTTTTTGAGTTAATTACACTTCTTATATATATAGTTTGACTTAAATTTCATTTTTGTTCTTATAATTTCAATTTGAACAATTTGATGCATTTTAAATCTAGTTTCAATTTGGCTGTTTTGTCTAAATTATAACTTAAAATTAATAATTTTATAACACTTGTCAATTTTCTAAAGTATACACATAGATAAAATTCATAAAAATTTAGACATAATGACCAAATTAAATCTAAATTTAAAGTATAAAGATCAAATTGTTCAATTTAAAATTATACGGATTAAAATGAAATTTAACTCAAATTAAAGATGGTGAAAAGTGTAATTAACCTTTTTTTTTTTTTTCTTAACTAAAAATGTCACATGACATAAAATACATATATTAAAATTTTATCACTCAAAATTCAAAATTTAAAATTCTATGTGGGCTAAGATTATTTTTTGCACTGTGTCGATGCTTGTGAAATACTCGCGCAACCAAGCAAATTTTCAATAAAGTTCATACTACTGTTGCTGATTTTTCTAAAAGTTGCATGTCCTTGTTCAAGATTTTCGTCAAATAAATCGAAGGGTGGGTTTGCAACCTGGTGAATTTGGTAAAATGGATTGCATCAATGAATGGTTATTTTAAGGTGAATTTTGTTGGGGGCGATTTTTGGTCAACATCGGATGATTGGGGCTAGTATAGTTGTTCGGGACCATGTGGACGCGGTGATTGCATCTTTTTCTGAGAAACTTCTGTAATGGACGGAGGTTGAAGGTGCTGAGGCATATGCACTCTTGAAGGTGGTGATTTTTGCAGCAGAATTAGGAGTATGGGATGTCTATAAAGCCCCTTAAGACAGGTGAGTTTTCTTTCTCCGCTTTTGGACACATTCTGCTAGAGGCTTCTAAGAAATGTGGATTTCACCGAGTGTGCTTCACACATATAAACTGACTTGGGAATAAGGTATCTCATCATTTGGCTCGAATGACTGTCACGCTACCTGGTTTGACTGTTTGGATGGAAGACGTTCCGCCAGCTCTGTCCTGCTCATTGTTTTTGAATTGTTATCTTGAGTTTGTTATGGCGCCGTTTGAAAACCCAGGTTTGGGGCTAAAATAGTGTCAAATACCAAAAAAGCCAAATAACCCCAAGGCCTCAACAGGTGATAAATGATAATTTTGCCCCTACCAATTTTGAGAAAACATGAATGTCTTAGGTTAAGGACAAATTTGTCATTTTAGTCTTAAACATGTTTTTCAATACAACAATCAACCAAACATTTAACCTAACTTTCCAAATACAAAAACTAAAATAACTTATTAAAATAATTAAATAGCCAAACAAGGCCTATTACACATTCAAAAAAAAAAAAAGCATAAACCAAAATCCATAATTTAAAACTCAAATTTTAATCTCTCTATCACTCCTCTGCAGCAATTGGATGTTTGTAATTTTAAATATATTTTTTCCTTAAGTAGATAATATGGTTGGTGGATCCACATATTTCACTTCTCACGTAATTTTAAATATATTTTTTCTTTGATGATGTATTTGGTTAGGAGATTTAAGAATGAATTTGGAAAAAAAAATAGAAAATGTGAGTGAAATGTGAATAAAATATACCTAAATTTCACCTAATTTCACACATATTTTTTCTTTTCCTTTCTAAATTCCCTAACTAAACACAGCATAAATAGATAATATTGTTGATTAGATTAAGCACATGCACGATCACAATAATCCATGCAGGTAGCCTTTTAAAGGATTGAACATGAAAACTCACTTTTTTTTCTTTTTTTTTTCTTTGGAGGATTCATGTTCAATTCTCACAAGAAACAAAATGTGAGTTTATGACACTAATTCAAAATTTATTCAAAAAGCCTTATACACAATGACAGTGAGGCCTGTCGTAAAAATATATATGTATGATCATAGCATTGTGGTAATGCTATTATTGCAGAATTTACATGAGTGCACAACAAAAGACTACAGTGGAGTATCATGTGCCATTTCCAGAATTGAGCACAAGTTCAGTTAACATTCTGCAATATATATCATAAAAAAGAAACCAATTACCAATAACATTCTAAAGATTGAATCTATCATTGAAGAGGAGGTCAACAAATAATACCAACAAAATTAGGACACAAAACCACCTTCCAAATAAAATCACATTTTCAAATAAATCACAATTTGACAAGTACACACGGGAAATGAAACAATCACAACTTCAATGGGGTTAAAAACAAATCAAATATAGATCTTTTTGATGCACTAATAATACACATATTGGAGCTGAATAACCCTCCTTAAATAATAATTATTTGTTATAACTACTGCATAATGAATGGGGAGATGTTAAATGACAACTGTATCTGCAATCCAAGTAACAGAGTAGAGTAGCTTCCTTAGCATTCACAACCTGTAGATCTCTGCTGCCATCCTCTACCAGCGACATCAATGGTGTCAGCTTATTGTAAATTAAAACTATGTTCCCCCCCAAAAAAAAAAAAAGAAAAAAAAATTAGTATTCCATAAATAAATTGTGCATCTCACAAAACATTATACCTGTGGGGAATTTTTTAACATGTTCAGACTTGCACCAAAGAGCTATGCAAAATGGTCACTATTGAAACTTGAAGATTCACTTGTGCTCATGCTAATCGATATGTTCTCATGAAGGACACTCAATTGTAAATATGTTAGGACCTAAGGTTTTTTTTTTTTTTTTCTTTTTCCTTTTTTTTCGAGTTCCAAGTGCCTAAGAACTCGTAAAAATCAAAAGAAGTTTCCCATTGTAACTCATAATTCCCCATAGGTTTAAAAAGCATACAGTGAAGGCACAAAAAAACTAGTGTTCTAACCAGAACAAAAAAAACACATGTTTCAAACTGTTTATAGGATTCAGAAATGCAGAGAACAATTTCTACAAGAACAAATTGTTGACCAAAAATTTGCAATAAACATCCAACTGCAAAGTTGCTGACAGACGATAAAGTAGCTGCAATGCACAACGGGCAGGCTACACAACTTTGGTACACTGCAACCCCACCCCATGTGTGCGCACATGCACACATGCATGCACGACACTCTGACTTCAAAGACTACAACATTCTGCTGAAATCACTGTTCTGCTTGTGCAGAGTCCCAATACCGAAGGGCAAGATTGGTTTCTCAATAATTTCACTCAAAATGTGCATAAACAGATCAAACAATTAGGTTGCACAAGAATACTCACAGTTCTTCTTCAGGTTCATTCTTAAGAGCATTTTTGGCTATACACTGAAAAGCAGCATCCACATTGAAGCCTTCTTTTGCAGAGGTCTCAAAGTAGGGTATGTTTCCCTTGGAGGCACACCATGCCCTTGCTTTCTTTTCAGAAACCTGAAATCAAAAAGAAGGCCCATATGCACACAGGATTAGTAGCAAGAACAGTTATTACATACATCTCAAAAAACCAACAGAGAAGCCTCCCTCTAATGAGAGAATAAAAGCATGCCAAAAGGGAGAGAGAAATCAACTTACCACCCGACTATTGCCACTATCAACATCTATCTTATTCCCCAATACAACAAAGGGAAAGTTCTCAGGGTCAGATGGGCTGGCCTGAACATCAAAGCATAGAAAAAGACAAAAATGAAAATAAAAAAGGCAAAGAAAGAAGAAGTCAAAAACAAAACAAAAAGAAGAAAAAAGTCAGTCACTGGTTCTGTAAAATTTGAAATAATCTCAGTAGCCAGCAGAGCAAAAATTACCTGAATCAGAAACTCCTCCCGCCAGTTGTTGAGATTGTCAAAGGATTTCATGACATTAACATCATACACGAGGACACAACAGTCTGCCCCACGGTAAAAAGCCACACCAAGGCTTTGGAACCTTTCTTGTCCAGCTGTATCCCATATCTGAAAAAATAAAGACAAGGTGCCAGCTTGAAAAGATTATGAGTGAACACATCCCCACATCTAACCTCAAGAACAAAAAACTTGCCAGGTCTTTCAAGCATCTTTGCACGTAGCACATCTACTAAATGTGTTCATTCACGTATTGCCATTTTAAATACAAAACATGAAATGAATTAAAAGTTCAGCTAAATGGCATCTAAGTCATCCTCTCCTTTTTCTTTTCTTTTTTACTATTGCATCCGCGTAAAACTTGAAGAAATCTATCACAAACACAAAAAGCCTATACAGCAAGCTCAACTATTTTAATTGATGATATGAAAAACATGATTGCTAGACATCATTCATTATGATAAACAGCAGATGCATTCATTGGTCAACTTGCAAAGGAAATTAAGGAAATTATACAAAATGATACATGAATCGTAAGATGTAAAGTCGCACCTGTAATGTGAACAACCTATCTTCAAACTGAACTTCTTTTGTCAAGAAATCAGCTCCAATTGTAGCCTTGTACTGATTGCTAAACTTACGATTCACATACCTAATCACAAAAATTAAAATTACAATACACCAAACAAATCATTCATTTAAAAATAAAAATTACTTAAGATAAAGAGATTCGAGAATACTGGTTCATCAGAGATGTCTTTCCAACCCTATCAAAACATCCCCAAAAAAATCAAGTTAGTACAGAATTCTATGCGCTTTACCAAACAAAGAAATATATCAGAATTCATTAAAATTTAAGGGTTTAGCATTCGGAAATTAATCCCATTGCTTTTGAGATCAAAATGCCATTTATTTTTCACTCAAAATAAACATAAACAATCATTTAATCTGAGGTATTCATGTGTTAGCATATTCGGGGAACAAAATTTCTCTTACAAAATGAAATTTTTCTCAAAATTCAAAGCAGAAACTACATTGATTTTTCCTTTCAAGCCAAACGACGCTTAGATTCCTAAAATTGCTCCGTTTCCGACGAATGGATAGAATAGACGCATTTTTCAGAACCTCAGATATCATCATCATGTTTGGGACTCGAGAAAACCAAAACCACCACTCTCAATTGATACCAAAAAGAAATAGAATTTTGATTATAATTTTCCAAAATACATTACAGTTTTTTTTCTTTTTTGTTAATTTTCTTTTCGTTTTCTGAGCAACCAAACGGACGGAGATCGGAAAACTTACCCGCTGTCGCCGAGGATTATGACCTTGAGAAGCATACGTCTTCGAGAAGCCATAATTGATTGATAGAGAGATGGATCAGAAAGAGAAAAGCTAAAAGCTAACAAAATTTTTGAAATTTTAGGGATTTTGAAAGATGAGAAAAGGCCTCCCTTTTAAGAGAGACAGAGAAATTCTCTTTCCAGTTTCTGCGGGGGGAGGAGAATCAAACGACAGCGGACCGCCGGCCCAACCCGAATATCATTTTTTTGTATCTTCTTCAAAGTTGTTTGAAGGAGGTCCATTGAAGCAAGCCCATTATAACCAAAAATATGATTTACCTGGGCTGCTCACAAAATTATTAAATGAAAAATTTTGCATACATAAAATTCATACAAAAAAAACTTAATAAGAATGATATGAGAATAATTCATTCTCAATGGTATTTAGAGAAGAAAGAGATCGCCATTATAACTTTTATGGGTTATTTACATGAAAACTCTTTAAATTATTAAAAAATATTATTTTGACTCTTGAATTATAAAAACGTACAAATAGATCCCTTATATTATTGAGAAGTATCATTTTATTCTTTAAACTATAAAAGCATGCAAATAAATCCCTAAACTATTGACGTGTTTTATTTTGACCACTGCCAATAGGAGTGTCAAATTGGTATGTTTCCAATAATTTATGGGACCTATTTATACGCTTTTATAGTTTAGAGAGTAATGTGATAACTTTCAACAATTTCGGAGATCCATTTGTACACTTCCATAATTTAAGAAATCAAAATAATACTTTTCAATAGTTTAAGAAGTTTTCATGTAAATAACCCTAATGAAACGTAGTAAAATGATCATATATTATTATAATATATATTTTTATATTTATCATTATTAAAAAATGATCATTTAATAAGAGAGCTTAAAAAATTATCATTTCATATCATTTTAGAATTATTTTGAAAATTAGTTATTTTAGTTTTCTTTTTAACTTATACAAAAAGACATGCGAAAAAGTAAAGAAAATAGTTAATTTTTTAGTAATAATTTTTTAACTAAAATAGCCTATTGCCAAATTTACCCATAATGAACCAAATAAAACATTAGTGTTGTGTACAAATCAACAAACATTACAAATCAATAACAAAAATTTTGTACTTTTAACGTTTTGTAATATTATATGCACAAAAAAATATTATATCTGATGAATCCACAAAGAATAAAAGATTACAAGTCAATTTTTCTGTGCATTTTCTCTTTACATGTAATTTTTATTTATTTATTTATGTTAATTATACACATTTTGTTCATTCACAAGAAGTCAAATAAATATGTAATGTAAATTTAAATTTAACCATACACATTTTATTTATTACTATAATATTTTCAAACTCCGTAATATTATACTCTTGCTTAATGGTTTTGCCCATGATGCATAAATATTATTGACATTCGTAGCAATGTCACAATCACATGTTGACCCCCTTAAATATGAAAATTGCACGATCACATCCCCTTTTAAAAAAGATTTGCAAAGGTGAAAATTATACATATTTATAGTTGAGGGCATAAAATATATACATTCATAAATGAGTGGAGTAAAATAATGTTCGCTAATAGTTGAGGGATCTTGGTGTAAATAACCCTAGAGACTAATAATAGTGAATATGACAAATATTTTATATTTCGTTATGCATAATAAGATGATCTGTGATGCTCTAGCACTGACAATTCCTGGAAAATTGCAAGAATTCAACAATCCAGCCTTGCATGTTGCAAACACAAGTAAGGTTGGTGACAGCCTGGATTTGGTCAAACACATGATCAATCACAAAGTCAGTCACTACTATTCTGTAATTATTTTAGCCTTTGAAATAGAATCCATCCCAGATCTACAAAATTTGAAATCATCAAATACAACTTTACAAAAATAATAATAATCATGGTGTCAGCCATTGAACTATATTCTTTACAAGGACGTATAGACAATACCAGAACATGAAAAGTGGGAAAGAACAATAACATGCCATGATAGCAAGCGGGAAAAATAGGTTCAAATCCAATTGGACACAATATTTCCGTATTTTTTTAGATTTCTATGTGAAGAAAGACGTTTTGAATGATTTGAATCAGGGACACTTGATCGCTTACTCCCCCTTTCAAAAGGGGGGCAGCTTTTCAAGAAGAAATGGCAAAGAATCTTTAAATAATCTTTTTACCTCGTTGAGTTTATTGTTTTCGAGAGTTTCAAGCATGATATTCTTCCTTTTCTTCCATTTTCCATCTCATGAAATTTGATGATGTTCATTGCTTCAGCTTTTCTCTCGAGTGGTTTGTAGAACTTCACTGCTCGAGACAGATTGGCGAAGATCATTATCACTGGTAGGTCCACTGCTTTCACAATTGTTGTGTCTCTGGCTTTCTAGTGCCAACCTTTCGAATTTCTTCAAATCGTCTTTGTAATTGGAATTGGAATTGGAAATAGAATTGTCATAATCTGAGCTTTCATGGGATTCGTAGAAACTGCTCTCTCCAGGTGTCATACCATCATTTAGATCATCCAGAGGCATGTTTCCTTCTAAAGCTCGGACTACCTGCATCAAGGATATTAACATGAAGATTTCAGTTTCATAAAAAACTTCAAATTCTGAAAACATATTTCAACACTCGTTGAACCTTTGAAATCACTAGAAATCAAATGCAACATTTTATCCAAAACCAACAGAAGAACAGAAGCATGTCTGGACATCTCAAAGAAATTGGATTTTCCAATTGCATTTTCTATAACTCTATGTACAAACCCGATAAGATGAGTGGGACTGTTTGGGAGACAGAAAGCCATCCTTAAAATCATAGACCAAAAATGTAATTTGAGGATTTCAAAGAATCCTCAACCTCTATACCATGAAATTTAAAAGCTTCAAGTTTGTCTAATTGTGTCATTTCAGCTGATAGAAATGTAGCTTTCAGTACTATGTAAAACACAATAAAGTCATTTAATTCTCACCGAGCATCCAACCCAGCCTTATGCAATTACGAATAGTATATGCGAGAGCCCTAGAGATCATGCTAAAAAATGGCAATCTGTTTAAATGTTAAATTGGGTTATATGTAATTGAAGAGAGAAACATTGTTTCAAATAGGAATAGCGGAGATACCTGGCTCATTCGTGGACGGCGTCGTGAAAAATGACGCACACAAACAGCAGCACAAGCAACCATGCGAGTCATCTCATTGGAGTCATAGTCTTTCTCCAACCTTGGATCAACAATAATATCGAAGTTCCCACCCTCCAAAGCTTGTCTGAGCAAAGGCCTTGCCTGGAATTGTCATACAAAAATGTTTGCATTCACAAAAAGCCAATTATTGGGAGAAAAAGAAGTCAAATTGTAACTGTTAAGTCACCAATTATCCCCAAAAGTTAGGTTGTTAGGAAATGAGCCCAACAATGTATATCAAGCTATCCAACACAACACCCTCCCTCCCAACAATGTATATCAAGCTATCCAATATCCTCCCTCACGTGCTATCCTGTCTGGCACGTAAAGAGACAAACAAAGAACCAAACAGAAGAAGTAAATAACCAAACAGGGACAGAATACAAAATGACAACGAAGAGACTTGAACCCAAGAGACCTCTCTCAACTTGAGCTCTGATACCACGTTTAGTCACCAATTATCCCAAAAGCTTATGTTGCTAGGAAATGGGCCCAACAATATATACATCAAGCTATCCTACATCCAACATTCATGCACAAACCTAGAACTAGAAAAATGAATCTTGATATCCTTTCCTTTTCACGTGCAAGCATGTGGACAAATGACTTCATCAAGTCGTGTTTTTAGACACTTTCCTCTCTTTTTTTTAACTCCAAGCTAATATAGCCAGATGTTAGTCTATACCCAATTATCCTTCCCAGATTTTAATTGACTTATTAGCTTTGGGCAATGGTTTTCATAGACGGGGGGAAAATCTGATGCCAAACAATCATATATTCCCAACTAAACATATCCCAACCACATCCATCAGCAACACAATCTTATTGTTCCTCTCAGTTATCTTTCTTTGAATTATTGCCAATCATGTCTTCTCTCTCAACAATGTGCATTCCAGAATATATCATAAGATCCAAATACAGCAATAATATATATATATATACATAAGGTTGTTCTTGTTCCAATTGACCCTTCACTAACATTCAAGTAAATGTTCAATTGCTAGAAAGTATTTCACTAGTGATGAAAAGAAACTCACCCAGTCAACAATGTTATCATCATCCACAAACTGAGCTTTATCAATAGGTCGTTTTCCAGTGATCAACTCTAGAAGCACGACTCCAAAGGAGAACACATCTGACTTGTCAGTGAGTTTTCCAGAAAGAGCATACTCTGGAGCTAAATAACTGCAAGTGGTGAGTACGCATGTGAATCAGAAGAAATGTAGGATCAAATGAAGATACTATGATACTCACAAGAAATAATAAATAAAAAGAAGTTGCTGCTCAAGACCATTTTCACTTATTGAAACATCAAAATCCCCAGAACTACACAGCATGGCAGATAAACATTTCCAGTGGACATGTATTAGTCAAATGTCTTACCCAAAAGTTCCCATGATACGTGTGGAAATATGAGTACCAGCTTCTAGATTTAACCTTGCAAGTCCAAAATCGGCAACCTGAAAAAAAGATTTGAGTAAACAAATTAAATGTACCTTGAGTAAAAAAGATTAAAATGTAGTGTGACCACTGAACACCACATTGAAAAGAATTATTCTAAATTTTCAAATATGACCACATTAGAGAATAAAACAATAAATTGTAGCTTTTTCCATGTCCAGTGGAATTAACAGCAAACTATGCTCCATTGAATACAAAGACCATTATAAGTCACCTCAGGCAGGAGGTTTTGGTTTTCAAGTCAGCTGAGCGGCAGAATAGTTGCCCTTCACAGTTGTAATGTTTCATTGTTCTTAGCTATGTAAAAGAGAAAATAGAAACGTGTCCCTTTTCTTATGGAATTCAGAATGAGGGTTCACTTCTTTCAAAGTGCACTAGCATCAGGCAAAAATCCAGATCTAAGATGTTCTGAAACATTGATGTATCAATTTGATGAAGAAAGCCAACCCTGGTGATTGGATTAAGGTTTGCAATACAGATATTCAATCCTGTAATACATGTAGATTTATTTATAATCACACAAAGTTTTATAAGTTGGAACTTCAATTTTAAAATGCCACCATTTTCAACAATTACATGCACCTGCCATCAAATGGATATTAAGAACCAAATGAAATGATCTAAGTTAAAAGTGGCAACCCTTTGGTTTATTGTAACATACCTCAAGTTCAATGTATTTGAAACCAACAAAACAAGAATGTTGAGGATGATGAGAATGCCATTATTAAGATGAAAGTTGTATTAACCAAATTGTTCTTGTGGGGCTCATCTGCCGCTTTGGTTTTGATCTTCGTTCACTAACCTTTTATTGGCATGTTTTGATTTGGCTAATTTTGTTTCTCTGGAATGCATCCCTTCTGTCACTAGGCTTGCTTTCCTCTTGAAATTTTGTGTCTTTCACAGAAAATAAAAGAGAGGGTTATATTTTATAATTTGAATATGCCTACAGAAGTCCACGGTAACATGTCTTTGAGCTGTCTTAGGGATGAGGAGATGGAGGGAACCAAAATTATGTTCAATGTATCTACCAATGAATGTCAGCTCAGTTAGTATGATGGTGACATGGTTGGAGTCTTTAATGAAGTTCCTATATACCAGTTCACAAATGCCCCCAAACCACCAACCCACCCAGGAAAAAGAGAAACAACCCAGACAGATAGATATATAAAACTCACTGGAAATAGCATGAGTATATTGAAAACTAGCTCTACAAATACATTAAACATATTCTGTCAATTTTACCTTAGCTTCAAAATTGTAATCAAGAAGAATATTGGCAGCCTTAATGTCACGATGTATGATCTTGGGCTGACCTGAAGAAATAGTTGGTGTTAAAATGATTGAACTTCTGATGCCAATGCCTTCAATCAGAAAAGAACAAGTAATTATGGTTACAAGGAAGATGGCATTGAAAACTCACAGTCCTCGTGCAAATATGTCAATCCTCTTGCAGAGCCTATAGCAATTTTCATCCTATTTGCCCAGCTTAGAGGCTGTCTTCCCTTTCCTGCAATGTTTTAATAATAAGACCGTACTCATAAAAGGAAAGATTAGAACTTAAAAAAAATTACTTGCCATGATGAACCCACAGCCTAAAAAATGGAAACAGTAGGAGATAAAAAAAATTAAAATCAGCATAACTGCTTTACTAAAAATTTAAATGAAAACTTAAAAAGAAAGAATGAATAATTTCTAGTCATTCAAAATGCTATTTACTATCCCCATAGAGTACATACCATTTAGCAGCAAAATAATAGGCAAAGGGATATGAGCTTGTTAGACGACTCTACGTAAAAAAATAATTAATAAAATGTAACTGTGAGAACCATGTACCACCATGACGTGAGATTAAACAATGAATTATGTACTCATGATCTAAACTCAAGAGGGGAAAATACACAAAAGCCAAAAAAACAAGGGAATTCCAGGAAATGGCACGCCAGAAAGGTCCACCAACATAAGGCCATGAACCCACCAAACTTAGTTGAATGAGCATGGCCAACTCTAGTTTACACGTTTGATAATTCTAATTACTGAAACTTCCTGTTCTCATGAATAATATTCCAAATACATTAAAGACGACAGCTAACTCAGAAAATAGGCATTTTGCCAGCAATATTGCATCCTTGTGTTTGATCAATTTTGTTGTGCCACGAGCAGAGAAGTTTGAGAATTTGAGGGGCTGCACAGATCTGCTTTGCAAGATTTTCTTGTAGCAAGAGATCAATTTCTTTTCAGCATATTATAGTTAGCAATTTACCAGCACAGTTGAGAAAGCAAAGTAATCATATCACCCTAACCCTAAGAGCTCACCATGTAAATGAAACTGCAATGTATTGTTTGGAACAAACTCATAAACCAGCATTCTCTGAGCCCCAGAAATGCAATATCCAACCAGTGAAACAAGATGCCTATGATGAACACGACTAATGGTTTCAACCTCGGCCTGAAATTCGCGCTCCCCCTGCCCACTTCCAACTTTTAGCTGCTTAACTGCAACCTCTTTCCCATTTGGAAGTATTCCTTTGTGGACATAACCAAAACCACCTTGACCAAGAAGGTTGGCATTGGAGAAACCTTCTGTTGCCTGTGCTAATTCTTCGTATGTGAATGTGGTCTTTGAGAAACCCAGAACCATGCCAGGGGATGGCGATGGGGAAACATGAGTGGGCTTTGGCAGCATTGCAACCATATTATCTGTTGGTGCAGGAACTTTCTGTTGCGATTTTAGGAGTGAACCACCAGAAGGTTCAGCTAGAGAAAGCAACAAACAATCACAAAATTGAATTAGCAAAGACGAGTCAAAAATTAGAATAAGTATAAACAAGAATAGATGGAAGAAATTTTAAATAAGATATCTCATTTCAATGATCATCTAAATGTCCACGTAGGTCCATCAATCTCTTTTCCTCAGTTGAAGCACCAAAACTACTTTATCTTTTTCCTACCTTCCAATTAGGATGAAAGTTATTATCTCAACACACGCCACTTTTTTCAGACTTGCATTTTCAAATTGAGCTTTCATTCTAAGGTTATACTAGTACGTATTCTTCTGACCCTGCAAAAACATTGGCAACAAAAACTGGCCACTAGTTACAGAGCTCTGTTAAGGCATCAAAGAAGCAAAACAGCCCATATAACCTGCCAGGGATGAAGCAATGCTGGTAAAAACCTACCTTCCCCTCTTACACAAGTTCCATAGATAAAACAGCATGAATACTAATGGCTATGTGGTGGTGAAAAGCTGTTGACATATTAAGGAGTTTTTAATTACTCCCATAATTTGATACCCACTTTTTGGACTAACTATAAGTTTCATAATCTTGTTCTCTGCTACAAGACTCAACATTAAATCTCAGTCTGTGAGGCAAACCTTTGTGCTACTACCAGACTGTCACCAACATCCCTGAAGAACCTTTTAAAATATCCAGGTTCAGTATTAAAACACCATCCTCTCAAACTCCTTGCTCAGCTTTGCTTTCTAGATAATTGGTTTTAAATCCCCTCAAAACCAAGTAATTACAATATAAACTTTACAGGTAATAAAACAAACAGCTTTGTTAATGAGAAAGTGATTGTCAATGTTTCAAGAGTACCACATTCCAATTTTCCTTATTCTAGCCACCCATCAGTGTCTTTTCAGCACATGTCATGCCTCCATTACAGTTTGATCATTTTGGGTTTTTTTTTATTATTGTGTTTGGATTAAGGATTTGAGATGTGAAGAAACAGTATTCGTGCTGTTGACCCAAATAGATTGGCAAGCCTGAGTTGAGTTAAATACATTTTTTATCATATAAATTGCAAGAGATATATTTCTTTATGATTTTCCATAACCAAGGGGAAAAGAGAAACTTGTTTGTAGATGGTCAGGACAAATGGTTATATTATTATATATGGTGGCTGGTTGACTTGGTTTGAGGCTTATGAACTGTCCTGTCCAGTGATGTCTGTGACACTTGAAATTAGGTTTCTTAAGGTGATGATGTCTTGAGAGCACTAACCAAAAGGCCACATAAAAGCAATGGGTCTTACTTATGCTGTTATAAGTTTGTTTATATGGCTCATGATTATAAATGTAAATGGTGATTCTCAATTATCTCAACCCATTTTAATTCTCAATTACCTCAACCCATGTTAATTCTGATCTCCTTGTCTCCTATCATTACCCTTGGGTCATGTTCGTCTAGGTGGACATGACCTTGGCATTGGACTAATAATCCACCAAAATGCATATTCTGATGTTTGGCTAAAAAAGTTAAGGTCTAGACTCATAGTATCCCCCATCTTGGGGGGACTATTGAATCACAGGAGGGGGGTGAGACACAAAATGGAGGACTAAGGATAGGTTCGGACCAATTAATTAAATTGCAAAATTGATAAGGTTTTCTCAATCCCTCCTCATAATCTTGAGACAATCCAAACATAGGATATGATACACAATACAAAAAGATTGATAATCCTAGAACTAGTCCTAAGAATGCTAATCTCATCTAATCCAATCTGCCCCAAACAAACATGGCCTTAACATAACTAGTGTCAATCTTCTTAACTGGTGCATTAATTCATCTTAATCAATTATCGCATTTTATCTTCAATAGGTGTATCAAAAAAAAATTATTTTTGAGGGCTTATTTTGGTAAGTTGGAAATTTTAACTAAAAAGCCAAAAACCCACTAAAAAAAGTCAACTTTCTCTCTATTTTTTGAACGTCATTCCAAAACAACCCTAAATCTTAACTGCGAAATATTACTCAAGCCATCTCAAAATCAACTAAAATCTATAATTAAGGGTGTTGGCTTTCCAGCAAAGATCCTACCCTTTCTATGAAGTGAGTATCATATAAAATCCAAATAAGCCAATTTAAAATATATAATATACTAAAATTAATGATCTTTACCCTATTAAATTATTGCGAAAGTTTAAAATTAAGAGCCAACTCATTCAACTGCTCAACTTCAATAAACAATTATCAATCCCACTTATTAAATTAATCAATTAATTAAACACATAGAGAATTGTTAAATGTTAATATCAATAGTTTCACAACAAATTAAAATCTCACCTTTGAGACCTTGGGAAAGTGAACCAGACAAGTCGATCTTCCTCCTCTTATACCAGAAGAACAAAAGCCCCACACCGAGAAGCACAATTGCACCACCGATCCCAATACCCACCCCAAGGGCAACTAATGTAGGGTTTCCACGCGGCGGCGGAGGCAACTCAGTCGCCGGAGTGGCGGAAGCGGTGGCGTTGGTGGTGGTGTTTGTGGTAGTGGTGTTAGACATTTGATCTCGCCGGATACCTAAAGTGTGTCAGATTTCCGGCTAGATCGATCGATTGTCAGATGCTGAGAGAAGAGAAGAGAAAGACTGGTAGAGACGCTGGAATGGAAAGTCCAAGGTAAAGAGAGTGATGGTACTTGGCGGCAGGAAGTGACGTTGTTTTGGTTGCTACTAGTTTGGTTGTTAGAAATTTTTGGCTTGACAATGGGTTATTTTGAGGGATAAAAAAAAAAAATAATTAATTTATTGACTTATTAATTTATTTTTATTATTTTTTTTATTATTTTTTTAATTTTTAAAAAAATCAATAATCTAACTTTCCTTTCTTACTTCCTAAAACAAAGCCAATATCACCACTACTATCATCTTCCGATGCATGTGGAGTCTGTTTATCATTTTGGATTTTGATTAGACAAGAGGTGTTGGAATTTCTCTATCTCTCTCTCTCATGGTCAGCAATTAGGAAAGTTAGATATTTTCTTTGGTGGGAAAGGGAGAATTTTTGGCGTTTAAAGATTCTTGATTTCACATGAGAAAAATGGACCAAGAATTATGATTTTAAAAATAAATAATAATATTATAAATAAGTTATTAAATATTTTATATAATATTATTTATTTTTATTTAGGGTCCTTAAAAATACTCAAAAATTAGTTGTTTATATATTTTGGATGATTTTTCAATCACAGTATACGAATATGATATTTAACTAATTTAATTTTGTTTGTATAAACAATTTACCTGATAAATCTTATGAATTGAATAGCTTGAATTATCAAGTTGGCCTCAAGATTGGCTCACAAAAAACAAACTACACTATCCAATCCTAAATTGGGGAGCGTGTTGTGCTTAAAGGCATAGCACGGTGCTACGAGGCCCATAGAGCCTTGTCCTGAACTAATATTATTGATTCGAATTGTTCATATGGTAGGTTTTATCGAGTAAATTATCAATAAAAAAATTTAATTAATTGAATATCTATAACCTTAAAGCCCAACCACATTTAATTTTTCAAAAATAAACAGTTAACATAATTTTGATAATTTATTTTAAAATAATTACAACTTGATCATAGGATTATACATATTCAATTAACTTATTTTTTTTATGAATAATATGTTCAACGAACCTTATATATGAACAATTTAAATTATCAAAACAACCTCGAGACACATCTCTATTAGGCATAGCACACCCCCTTATCCATCCAATCCACCTCACTGAAGCCTTGTTGTAAAAAATGTATCACAAAATTTAATCCACAAATAAAATGTCTGTTATGAATCCAACCCCATGACTCGAGACACATTCAAGTTTACAGTTCGAGAAATGTGATCCATACTGTCTCTTTCTCTTCTTATACCAAAGGAACAAAAAGCCCAGACCTTGAAGCAAAAATGCCCCACCGATCGATCCCAGACAGCAGCCAATGCAAGTAGTGTTACTATGCGGTGGAGCCATCGAATTTCCACTCCCCCAGCAAGTCTACCATCGTTATGTGAGTCAACAGATTAACATGTTTTGAAATTGAACTTTTTAATAATTTTTTATAAAAAGACATGGCAATAATAGTAAAAAAAATTATTAAAAAAATCAAAAAATCAAAGAACTATGCAGAAAAGTTAAAGATTTTATTTTCTTTTTATTTTTTATACTTTTTTTTTTGTAAAAAGTCAAAAACTCAATCATCTCAAATATGGGGTGAAAAAAATCATATTTTAGTCAAAAATTAAAAAGAAAAAAAATATGCATATCGGTAAGTTTTTTTCAAATTGTGCGAAAAATAAAAAAATTCACGATTCCGGTTACCGCAACCGTTACACTACAGCCTTTACACCCCGCAACCGCAACCGCGTCACTGCCACCGTTACGGCGACCGCAACCGCTTTTCAAAACCTTGAGTGTTACTATGCGGTGAAGCCATCGAATTTTCACTCCCCAGCAAGTCTACCATCGTTATGTGAGTCAACAGATTAAGCATGTTTTGAAATTGAACTTTTTAATAATTTTTTATAAAAAGACATGGCAATAATAGGAAAAAAAATTATTAAAAAAATAAAAAATCAAAGAACTATGCAGAAAAGTTAAAGATTTTATTTTCTTTTTATTTTTTATACTTTTTTTTTTGTAAAAAGTCAAAAACTCAATCATCTCAAATATGGGGTGAAAAAAATCATATTTTAGTCAAAAATTAAAAAAATTGCACCGAGTTATGGCCCAGAGCTAAAGCTACGATATCCCGGTCCTCAACCATCTAGGCACCACGCCAATTAAAGGTGCCTCCAAGCCCTTGACCGCACGGTCTAGAGCTTAGTCTTAAGACAAACCAAGGTGTTGACAAGGAAGAAAGTCGAGCTGAATGTAGCTCGGCCTTTGACCCTCTTGCAGAGATGGTTATCACAACTCTACCTAGTGCAGCATAGAGCCAAAGAAGCTCGGTCGGCTGTAGTACCAACCAAGATAAAAGACTCGTGCCATCTCACTTGGCTTGCAGTGACGAGGATGTTTTAAGGATAAGCATTATCCTTAGATATGAGACTCCTGGGAAGATTCTGTCAAGGAGAATTAGAGTCTTGCTAGGATTATACCAGGCGGAATCTATAAAAACTCATGACAGGACTTATGCACAAGTATTGCAATTCTTACTCTCAATTACACATAATTTTTGTGTCTATTGTCTATTCGCTTACTTAGGCATCAAAGAGGATTCCGACACACTCCGCCGGCTAGCTCACGTTTGTATTTTTAAGTAGTAAAGCGACGACGTTTAGAGTGCAAATTTGATCAACAAGATTATACGAGAAGATCATTTTGTACTCGTACAAAAAGACATGGCAATAATAGTAAAAAAAAATTATTAAAAAAATCAAGAACTATGAAGAAAAGTTAAAGATTTTTTTTCTCTTTATGTTTTGTACGTTTTTTTTGTGTAAAAAGTCAAAAACTCAATCATCCCAATTATGGGGTGAAAAAAATTCATATTTGAGTCAAAAAATCAAAAAGTTAGTTGGGATAAACTTTTTTAACTTGATTTTTTTGCTATTTTAGTATGACTAAAAAAGTTATATTTAGGATAATTTTTTATTTATTTTTTTATAATTGATTTGATAATTATAAGAGAGAATGTGAAATGATTATGGTTTGGATATTTTATCTTATTAGCATTTTATCTTATTGATTTGATAAAATGTGACATTTTATCTTATTAGTTCAATTAACTTATTTTATCTTTTTATTAGCTAAGTTAACCCCAACCCAAATGTCAAATGCGGCCTAAAATAGCCTGTTTCCAAACTAATCCTTAGCACGTTTTTATAGTGATTCTTTTTACTTTTAATTAAAATTTTAACTTCCCAACAATCTTGAACTTGCATTAACTGATTGGGTTGATATCGGAATCGGCGAAGGAAACACAAAACTTTCATACAACGACTAGGGTGTCATAAGAATAAGAGTCGGGCGATGGAGGTACCAAACTTCTACCTGGTCGTTGGAGGCACCAAACTTCTATACGGCTGTGGAAAAGAAAGGTATTTTTTAGGTGCATTAAGCCCTTCACGAGAAAAAAATTTCTAAATTTTTTTAGAAAAATGAATGAGACTCTCTTTTTGAAGGACCCTCACAATCTCCATAGTGATTCATACTATTCATGATGTGTGGGGTCCATTCATATATGTGTGGAGTCCACATTATGAATGGTGTGGATCACTATGAAAGTTTGGGGTCCTCTAAAAAGAGGCCTCTATCATTACTCAATTTTTTAAGCCCTTCAATGCGGATTCCTAAAAAATAAATAGTAAATTTCATAAATATTAATAATTATAATTATAATTTTTTTTTTTGAATCTGTAATATATTTTTAATTATACCATTAATCCTTTATTTTTTCAAATTTGTTATTTAAAAACGACGTTTCCACATTTTACAAAATAATATGTAAAAAGTAAATCAAATAGAAAGTAATTTTTTATTTTTTTATATTAATTAAATTTTTATTAATTTTTTATTGACTTTATAATTTTTTAATTAAAATATGCAATTGCCAAACTATACTGAGGATAATCATGTCCTCACATTTGACTTCGCACGTATGGAATAGAGCGAGCAAGAAGGGCTAAGCACCGCCTGCAAGCCACATTCCGTCATTACACAATTCACAATGTGGTTGACAATTTACTTTAGAAAAAATTGTATTTTACGCTATGTTTGGTTTAGAGTTTTGAAAAGAAATTTGTAAAATGAAAGAGAAAACATGTGAAACTATATAAAATATAAATATTTTATTCACATTTCACCTATCTTTTTTATTTTCCTTTCCAAATCCCTCCTCAAATCTCCTAACCAAACATAGCATTAGTGAAACCGTGTGATGCTTGGAAAGGTGTTCTGTGGGAGTTGTGGGGATGTATTTTCTGAATACCAACACGTGGCATGGTGACGCCGACGTATCATCTGAGGTGCCACGTGTCGTGGTAGTTATGCCGAGGTTATCTTTGGCGAGGCCGAGGTGATCTCCGAAGATATCGGAATCCGAGATAAGCGGATAAATAGATAAGGGGCAAGAGTCTTAGAGAAAAGAGAAGACTTAGCCAAGACAAGGATAAAACTCTTAAGGAGTTTATCTTTTGAAGAGTCCAAAGTCAGTATTGAATTGGAGTCCATAGAAGTCAGGCTTCTAGTGGGACTTAGATTGAGTAAACTATAAAAGAGAGGCACCCCCGTGGGTCTAAGGTACGCAGTTTTATACTCAAGCTTGTGAGTTTAGCACTTGATTATCTTTGAGAGATATACTGACTTGATCGTCGGAGTGCCCCCGGGTGGAAGAGCCACCGCCGGAGCCTTTTCTTTCTGTTACAGGTTTGCTGAAGCCATCTATTCTGTCTGTGCTCTCTAACTGATTACTAGGCGGGCAGTGTGATCAGAAAATTACCCACACAATTTGGCGCCGTCTGTGGGAACTTAGAAGAATAGATGGCCAGTGACGGACAAAAGGAAAACATTGGGGGCGACACTCCTGCTAGGAATGGCAGACCAATTAATCTTGACGTTGAAGGAGACAACCACAACACAGAAACTCATGGCCAGGGCCACGGAGAGAAAGACGTCGGCCATGAGAACGATGTTTCGAAGAGGACAGACCAAAGCAAGTATTATAACGAAGATAACCTTCAGGTATGGAGGGATAGGTGCCTATGAAGGGATGAGGAAGTAA